CGAAGAAGAGAGCGGCTTCACCACCAACCTGTGAAGACCAGCCGTCAAAAAGAACTGCGCTGCAATCAGTTGAGCCGCAACTGAGATTTGAAGATTGCGAAAGTGCGAGGCAAAGCGACAACGCATTTGAACTTGAAGACGTTGTCCGGCCAAACGACCACTGGGCAATGCACAAGTTTCGTCATTATGACGGAATTGCTTATGTTTCGGCCTCCCTAAGTCGTGAACTCGTAAGCATCGAAAAGACTGTGCTCATGAATTACGGTACCGACCGGAGTGAAGTGATTTGTCGGACATATGTTCGGAAGACGCTGATCTCCGAAAAGGTCGCCTATAACCTTGAAGATGCCAAACAAGTCCTGGACTGCGCAGAATCTCTTCACCCTTGCAGAGGAGCAGGTAGGGCGAAGGACTTCACCTATGACGTTCTTACGAAGAAACTGGAGCAGCAAATCTCTCATTCCGACGGCCTTGTCTTCAGTGTCACGTGCAAAGGAGCGGTTAAACAACAAGGTGAGTGCGGCAAACGTTTATTGAGACGTCACTTGTAATTGTACAATTAATCAATCAGTAACCTGTTTAATGCTAGAACATTTGTGTGGCCCCTAATTTTTGTAGTACTCATTAACATTTACGAAAGAATAGTTTGCCTACAGAAAGTGAAAGTGCATAAATTGCGTTTCAAACATGCATGGTAAAAAACTGGAAGCTCTTCATAATTTTTTCTCGTATACTTCCAGGTTCTTCATGCATTTCATGCAAGTACGTGAGGAAAGTAATACTCACCAGAAAAAGCTACCTAAAACGAAAAGAGCGAAGAAACTCAGTCTCCACCAAACTGCGGGTCCTGAGTCAGAGAAACAAGCGGATGGCGACAAGGCTGTTGGACATTGCTGGTCGTCTCGAAGAGATGAGGGCAAACAATGCGAATGTCGCGGATAAAATACTAGAGGATAAAATATCGTCACTACCGCGAAAGCAGCAGGCAAGTGTTCGCGCTTGCTTTCAAGCTGCCAAACAAACCAGCAAGCAGGGCATGCGCTACAATCAGGAGTGGATCCTCGAGTGTTTACTCATGAAACTAAAGAGTCCCCGGCTTTATCAGCACATCAGAAAGAACGAAATTCTCATGATGCCCAGCAACACTACTTTGAAAAGATACTTGAGGTCATACGAGTCGGCCTTCGGTTTTAATCAAGCAGTAATGAACACTCTAAAGAAAAAAACCGCGAGCATGTCAGACCTCGAAAGACACGGCGGACTATTGGTGGACGAAATGAAATTGTCAGAACATTTCAATGTGACGGCGTCTGGCCAGATTCAAGGCTTCGTGGACCTTGGAGAATTTACGAAGCCCGAAGACAAGTACCAGCAATGTGATCACGGCATGGTCATCATGTTTGTGCCTTTCGCTGGAAAATGGAGCCAAATTGTGGGCGTTTTTGCGACAAAAGGAAATGTGAGAGGAGACATTTTATTGAAAATTCTCATGGAAGCTACCATCCTCGTGGAACAGGCGGGCTTGTTCGTCGACCACATCACTTGTGACGGAGCCCCCTGGAATCGAAAAATGTGGAAGCTAGCGGGGGTGTCGGCGTCATCGAAGAAAATAAATGGCGCCATACAGCATCCTGTCGACGAGATGAGGAAATTGCACTTTATCTCCGATTTCCCGCATCTGCTAAAATGCCTCAGGAATGGTCTTCTCCAGAAAGGCTTTGCAACACCAGACGGATTGGTACGTATAGATTCATGGTTGACATTTTACAAAGATTGTGTTTTTTGCATACATTGCATTACCTCAACCTATATTTCTAGGTGTCTGTGCATCCGGTTCGGGAGGCGTACCTTCTAGACAGAAGTGTTAGGACACTGAAAGTTATGCCCAATTTGACCGAGACGCATCTGGAACCAAACTCATTTGAGAAGATGAGAACCCCTTTCGCCTTCCAACTATTCGGTCCATATGTCCTACGGGGCCTGGCCTTCTACAAGGAGGACATCGAGAGAAGGTGTGGCAGCATCGAGGCAACTCAGCTGTTCTTCTCGTGAGTTGCGCCTACGTTCCAAATGAATTAAGTGTAATCGTAAACATCTCAAACGCATGATGAGCGCTCTTCTGACATACATTCTTTTTGTTTATTTTGCAGGAAGATCCAACGACTGATCACCGTGATGACTTCCAGGTTTCGGGCCGAAGCGCTGAGACCAGCTTCTACAGACGTGGCATTCCTGTCCAATTTTCTGGACTTCCTGAATGACTGGGAATCATTCAGTGACAACAAGCGGCACTTTCTCAGCGAGTCCACTGCCATAGGTTTTAGGGTCACTATAGCAAATACCCTTTCATTGCTGAAGTACCTGACAGAGAGCGTTGGATTCAAATATCTCATGACATCTCGACTTAGCACCGATCCCGTGGAACATTTCTTCGGCATCGTTCGCCAGTCAAGTGGCTGCAACGCGCACCCCTCTCCGGATGAGTTTCTAATAACCGTCAACTGCTTGTCCTTTTATAACTTGGCGCACAGTGTGGACAGCGCAAACGCAAACCCTGACATGATAAACGCTCTTGTCACTGTGCATGACAGACAGGGTCTAAAGGTCACGCACAAAAAAATTGATGATCTTATATCACAGGGAAAACTTGGCGAGGTCGAAAGCACGATTGCCACGATGCCAGAAAAGTTTGCTGACCACATCGATGTGACTTTGGAGAAGAGTGACTCGAGACTCATTTACTACACAGCAGGGTACGTGGCCAGAAAGTGTGTATTGAAGTTGGCATGCGTACAATGCAAAGAAGTGCTTCTGTTTGAGAAAGCTGTCGCGGTTGCTGAACAGCTCCCTTCGCAATTCACGGAGCAATGCGACTGGGGTGGACTTCTGTACCCCTCACGACAGCTGTATGATTTCATTGCCTCACTTGAAAACTTGTTTACTGAATGTTTCAGTGTTTCCATGTTGCACACAGATAGCATCTCTGACATCCTTTCATTGGTGAAAACTAATTTTCTGAACTCGAAAGCGGTCGGCTGTCCAGACCACAAAGATGCAGTGAGCACAAAGCTCGTTTCGTTCTACGTGCTCACTCGCCTTCACTTCTTAGTGAAGGGAATGAACAGGGAAAACGCTTCGAAACGAGCGAGAGCAAAACACTTAAAGCTTAGCAGGACAACATAGAGCCTGACGTTCCTTGAGCGACGGTGTCGAAGTCTTTCGATGATATTTATTTTGTTTTTTATATTTATGCGAAAAGCTTGCGCAGTCAATTTAAAATAAAATATTTTGCGCATATCACTTCTTTATTGGTGTCTTTCAGACTTCCTATCTATAGGTGAAAACACGTTCATGTTTCGAACAAATGTTTGCATGGACACGTACCGCAGGCACGAAGAGAAAAGGTAAAATATAACATATTTCATTAATACCTACAACGTATACCAGCACTAGATGCCGAACAAAAACTCATCATAAAACCACCGCGACGGACGTGCGTCCGCCCTATAAGTCATTTCCTACGAATAGCACAGTTGCCGTCCGATGTGACTAAACTTCCTTTGCCAACACCCTCACGTAATCGCAACAGGACTGGTTCAGTTTTTCAATAATATCACGCGTCCCTAACGAATAGCTGCAAATTTGCAGAAGGGTTCGCATACTTTAGCTTTAATTCTCGTGATAACAGCTGGTAACTTTAGTCTTGCATCATATTCAATTTGCTGCCGTGAGTCTAAATTTGCACCAAACGCAAACTTACTTATATATCCCAGTTATATTGACATTTTTAAAAGCATCGCAGTTAATGCTCATATTACACTTTCGATGCGTACGTTTTCGCAAAAGCCAAATTCAACTTACGCTCTTGATTGTAAACAATTACCGTGGAAATCACGGTACTTGCGTGCGTGACTACCTATACGAGCAGGGCGTTTCGCAATATAAACATTTAGATTTTGTTGAACTGGCGCGGAAGCACGGTGCGACGCCGTTCACGGCCACGCACGCACGAACGAAGCAACAACGCTGCGAGACTGCGCCAGACGCGCGAGCAGCACGCGAACCGCGCGAACTATCAGACTACCCACCCGTCGCGAACCGCGTGGCAAAGGGGACTTGTAACCATGGCAACCACGGCTAAGTCTTCAGGTGAAGGCGATGGTAGCGCCACCTGGATTTTCCGAAAAAAACGCCTCAGCGTGGAGCCTTCAGTGGACCCACTCCCCCATTCTAGTACACTCTACTTTGAACTGGTTCAGCCGGTGCAGCCAAAACGAAGAGACCTTAGGATTAAAATGGCCGCGCTACTTGGTGCCGTTCTCGCGCGCTGCGGCGTTGAATACGACCGTTTTTGAGGTGGTTTCGAAAGCGAAAATGGTCATCAAACTGACTTTGCGGCAAATAACTCGACAAATACGCATTACAGGGCTATAATTTTTTAGGAACAGCTTCTTTAGACCTTAATGATTATGAAAAAAAATACTTCAACAAATTGGTCTTTCGGAAAATTTTCAGCCTCCCATACCTGTGTCTCCCCTTAAAGCGGCCCCCGTTCGTCCGTCGTAGTAGTCGTAGTTGCAGTGTGTAACCAGTCTTGCGTTTTGACCTGCAAGGTGGTGCCCGTGGGAGATTTCTTTTGTGCGTTGTTGAACAATAAAAATTTCGCAGCGTGACTCTACGCTTCAAGCCAAGCGTTTCAGCCACCAGCTGCTCAAACACTTCAAGCCAAGTCAAGTCAATTTTAAGCGGCGATTGGATGAACCACAAAGGATGAACAGAGTGTTTTGCCCACGTGGTTTTGCCCCTCATTTGTTTACATTTGTATGTAAATTGTGTATGATTTTCGTTCCGCAAGTGCTCTTTGTAAACGTTTTTTATAGATTTTTGTATTTATGGATGAATTGTACGTATGTTGTTTAGCAGTTGATTTTTTTCGTGAGTTTTTTTTTTTTGTTCTCCTGCATATTCTCGACGAACTGCACATGCATGTCTATATGCACTAATGATTAAACACCGCTATTTTTCTTGTTTTTATGTGAAATGTTGTGTAAAAACCTATCTTGCCCACCTCCCCCTATGTAATACCTTCGGGCTTTTAGGGTAAATAAAATGAAAATGAAAAAAAAAAATGAAACAACGCTCGTACCCCCGGAGGAACCGAAACACTGCCGCCCAAAAATGGCAGACGACCAAACAGAGTCATTGGATCGGCGCGAAGAAAATAACGCTGATTCATTTTGTCTGACCTCTATAAAGGTAATTTATTTGTAGCTTTTGGGCACGATGTGGTCGCTTTTCAGATATCTTGCAATAAGACACCCGCGCTTTTCTTATCCCGAAGCTGCTTCATTGACAGCTGCCTTGTTTTGATGTCACGCATGTTTTTGCAGGAGGCCGTGGACGAGTTGTACGCATTTCGAGACAGCTATTACGTAGAAAACCCTTGCGCTTCGGAAAAACAGAAAAGTGACGATGTTGACGAGAGGCTCAAGAAAATTTTGGACACATTAGACGCACAAGGAGGTGAGCGCTTAAGCAGTTCGTGGCCGCACAAGAACTTCCACGAAAGTTCGCGGCACCTGATTCGTCCCGAAGAAACTTTAGGGAGGCATCACAATAACCTTGGTATTTGCTGTCTCGTTTGGCTGACACTTGCGGTCTGAAAGCATGCGGGGAAAAAATGTGACGTCGTTTCGAATTGACCGATTACACAGAAGGCGTGGCTTTTTTTTTTCGTTTTGTTTCCGTGCATGTTGTGAATAGTTTTGCTTGTGTAACTGAAAGCATCCACGTTTTTCTGTTCGAATACATCCAAGTTAACTGTCGACACGCTCACAGTCTTCGCCTACACCATCATAATTTAGAGCATCATTTGAACATGTTATGAAATAAAAGCTTTATAACGTGCGGCAAACCTGTTAATTGATTTATATGTGTGGTTAACGTTCCCAAACCACCATATGATTACGAGAGACGCCGTAGTGGAGGGCTTCGGAAAGTGAGACCATGTGGTTTTTTTTTTAACGTACACCCAAATCTGAGCACACGGGCCTACAACGTTTCCGCCTCTATCGGAAATGCAGCCGGGATTCGATCCCGCGACCTGCGGGTCAGTAGCCGAGTACCTTAGCGACTAGACCACCGCAGCGGGGCGCGGCAAACCTGTCATTGCTAAAGTGTGTGTTGTATTAACGATGTTGGATTTTGTGTTTTACTACTGGCACAAAAATAGATAGGACACGGGAAGAAGCGCTGGGAAATTAGTTTGACGTACCATGTCCGGTCTGGAGTGTGCGTTAAGTACACTGCCTACAGTGGTAACTGTCAACAGCTTGATAGATATGAAGTGTAGTTTAGAATTGTGTCGCTTTGCGTGCGGACCTGCTGTGAAATCTGGCTTTGTGTGGTATAGTGGAGACTCTAGGCATGGTGCCATGCTGGGTGTCAGGCTAGAAGAGAAGTCCTTAATATCTATGAAACAAGCCTTGACATTTACAATAATTTACATGCCGAGGATCAGATGAAGTTCTTTTTTTTTCTTAAATCAAGTCATTGCATTGTATTTCTGTTGTTTTTTACAATAATTTACATGCCGAGGATCAGATGAAGTTCTTTTTTTTTTTTTTCTTAAATCAAGTCATTGCACTGTATTTCTGTTGTGTACATCAGAGTGAAGAAAATAAACGGTCTTGCTTACAGACTGTTTAACACAGACACTTCTTACAGACCATTTGGTGGACATCTTCTCGTCCACGACGAGGTGATAACCACCACCGTAGCTCAGGGCTAGAGCATCGGACACTTTATTTGAAGGTCACAGGTTCTGGCCCTGCTGGTGGCAAGTTATCTTTTCGTCCACTTTTTTTTTTTTTTCATCACGTTTACACATCAATTACTTCTAATAACATCCCCTATTCTTTCCCTGGTATTATTGTCTGTTAGTTATTGTTATTATTGTGTATGACAAAGAAAACGAACCCCTAAATTTAATTTTCTTCATAAATATCATTTAAGTATGTTGCTATGAGACCCTTCCCCCCTCCCTTTTTTTTTCTAAAATAAAGGCTTGGTTAAAGATTGTTTCGCCTACATTTTGGTGCTTTTTATACACACATAAAAATTCATAAATATGGCAGGAGAAAGAAAACTTCTACTTACAGACATATATTGCTTTTATCATGTTATTTTATGTTTAAATGTAAAGAAATAATGTTTGCAAACGCAGAATGAATGGCTACTGCTCACACTGTTTTCTTGTCGTGAGCTTCGTAGAGCTATGTTTCCAATTAGCCTACCCATTCCGTCTTACTTAGCACAATAAATGGTGGGGGTAAACAAGTTTTTGCAAGGTTTGAACACAAGACTTCAGAGATACATTCCAAACTGGCCATGGACTTGTTAAACGGTCCGACAACTGGTCAGAACTTCTGATTTGATCTTGGAAGAATGAAAAAATGGAGAAATACAGTGGCAGATTCCAGCATTCTTTTCGATTTGAGAGTAGGATTTATGTATTTAGTTAGTGTTTAAACTTAAGGGGGCAGACTGGTCTTAGACATTTTTTTGTTTATTTGTTCAGTGATCTTGATCAAACTACACAGGGATATGCAGTTTTTTCTGCTGATTTCAAATATTTATTAGTTTTCCTATAACTCATCTTATTCTTGAGATAACTTAAGTTCAACCCCTTTTGTTCAGGGCCGTCATAGAAAAAAAGTGCTTTATTAAAAGTGATATTTAAGATATTCCAGCATAGACTAATGACTATAGAGTGAAAGTATGCAAGAGTTTTTGTTCTTGGGCCTTTATTGGTTAATTTACCACAAAATTAACTATCCATTTTCAGGAGCAGTTGAAATTATATTACAATTTTGATGAGTAATTAAATAAAAAGGCTTGCACTCTAAATTATGCTCTCATACTTGCATCCTACACACATACAGGTTTTCGTTGCAAAAAGAATTATTGTTGTACCTGCTCTAGCTGCAGAGATATTAAGGCCTCAAAATTGAACTGTTGTAAATTTACTTTTTTGAAAAAAAAAGGAAAAAAACCGAAAACACACAGCTTCTTCAAAAAGCAACCATCATAGTGCGCATGCTTTGCAATCCTCATAAAGGTGCTCATAAATTCATAACAGAACTTCTAACACAGTTGCCGGCCTATTATAGAGAAGCCTCAAAGTCAGTTCCCCATTTTTTTCGCAGGTTCTGCATGTTAACAGCACAAAGAATCTGGACAGTTAGAATGACATTACAAAAAAGTTACTACTTGCTGGTGTGCGAAAATTTGCAGAGAGATAGAAAAATACTTGCAGAAACCAAATATGTCAATTTTAAAAAATGAATATTTGTGTCACTTTTTGGTCCCCAAGACCAGTCTGCCCCTTTAACAAAAATCGGTATGTCTTGCTTCCTAGTGGAAGAGCCTTGAAGCTGGAAATATGGATACGATCACTTTGCTGTGCGTAATCACATAGTTTGATGCTGTTGTGAGTCATAATTAGCCCTGAAAATTAATGTATAATATTATCCCGCTCTGCTTTATTGTGTGCTGCTTATAAGGTAAAAGGAGTGGCACACTCAGAAGCAGCGCTGCCTTTACGGTAGCCAGTGGAACGTGTGCAGCGAACCACCACGTTTGAACTGTTCTTGTGCTCACTGTTTGCAACATGGCTTGTCACTTGCGTTTACTACTTCATATTCCCCGCAGATGCAATGTGATGTGCAAAAATGGAAAGAAATATTCTTGGATACATATATTGGAATGCCAACCATGCGGAGGGAGGTGTCTCATACGCGATGCTAGACGAAATGGTGAAGTTCAGTGGACATCTGATTTATAGAGGCATTATTCACATCGCGGGCATCCATCTTGAGAACACCTGCAAGTTCTTGTCGCACACACACAAAAAAAAAAATTACCGAGAAATGTACACAAGTTCACTTGTGTCTTGCGAAAAACTAAGCTATGCTTCACTGCATGGCACGAGCAACTAAGCAGCACCTCAGATTCGATTTTCTTAGTGTATGTGAATAGAAATATTTTGTACTAAATCTATTATTTTAATAGTGTTGCTGGGTCATTTAACTTCAAATTGTATTTTCGGAATTTTCTTTGTTCTGAATATTTATGAATATATAGTGTCTTTTATTGCACTGTTTACTAGCTGGCAACCTAAAATTTCACAAATTTCACATTTTTATTCATTTAAAATACTTTTTTTCTCTACAGCATATATTTTTTGGAAAGAACACTTCATCGGGAAAATATTGCCATGCTGCAATGCGTGCTGGAGTACTTATGAGACTGCCAAAAAGTATTTTCCCAAGACATATGAAAAATGATCATTTTCGCACGGTAACAAAAGAGGTAGGCAGTAATAGTGAGTGGATGAAGGGCAAAAAAACAAGAAATTGATGCAGCAAGGGCTGCATTAAAAACTGTGTTTTATTGCTCAAGGACCAAGAACTTGTGCAGTTTTATAATGCCATGCCAAGGACATGGAAGAAACACAATCACAATGAAGGGTATGGCATAGCCTAGCCAGACTGCCCTAATGTGTTATAGCATTTATAATTGGGCAGAAATTGCCCTTTGTTGTGCAAAAGAGACGACATAAATATTTTACAGCTTTAAGATCCATCAGCTTCGTAAACTTCATTCCTTGCTTTATGTCAGGATCTGCTTCACCACGGTGGATTAGTGGTTACGGTGCTCATCTGCTAATAGGAAGGTTGTGGGTTCGGTCCTGTCTATAGTGGTAGCATTTTGGTAGTGACAAAATGGTAGAGGCTCCTGTACTGAATTATGTCAGTTCACTTTAATGAACACCAAATGTTCAAAGTCCTGTACTACAGCGTCTGGCTTGATCATATCTGGGTTTTGGGATGTAAAACTCTAGAATGTAATATGCTCAATCATTATCTATTTGAATGCATGCTTCTTTGAACTGTATTATTGAATGATGTGGAATGACACATATTGCTTGTACTTTGTGTGGTCTTCTATTCTTGTAATTTTTGACGTGCAATGAATTTATCAATATTCAGCTGGATCGTTGTGGCATGAAAGTTTGTTGTGCATCCTTCCCATGTGTAACTTTAACTTTCGCTCTCTCCACATTTGACATTGTACACACTTGAGAATGACATTTCGATTTGTTTTGAACAGGAGTGCTGGAAAAATTGGACAGAGCGAAATTTCATATGCTGAAAGGGAAGGCACTTAATATACTAGAAGACTACAACCAAGAGGCACACGAAGCACTTTCCAAAGCTGTGAAGCTCAGTCCTAAACTAGTGGAAGCATGGAATGAGCTTGGTGAATGCTACTGGAAAAAGGGACAGATTACCAAGGCGCGCAACTGCTTTGAAGGTGTTCTGAAAGTGGTACGTTCCTGCTCTTCAAGTTTTCTTTTTTTGTTAATGTTATAAGTGCTGAACGATTGGCCTCGTTTCACCCCATTTTATGATGTGATATTGTTAGAAAAACGTCTTTAGGAACCATTTGGTTTAGTAAAAGGTGTAGAGATGCCAAGCAGAAGGTCACAGTAAAGAAGTTTAAGCGGTGTTTATTCTGTTTTGTGCTGACTGCTTTATTGTTGTTTGAATCTTGTTATTCTTGATGTGAGCCTCAAGAACACGGAAGTTATGACGCAGATGTTGTGTAATACTAAAACTTGATTATTAAACATCTTTCAAGATGTTTTCATAGAATAAAAATTCACCGAAGGTGTCTTGAAGATTCTTCAATAAATTTATGAAGTTTAGTACAAGTACCGCAAGCCTTTGAATATTTTTATGGTGCTCAGTTTAGTGGCCAGGTTTTGCTGTTGTTATAACAAGTCATTGAAAAGTGTAATATTTCATGAAACCTTCTAGACCACCCACAAGCCAGTTTGCAACTCTTCCTTTAGCTTTTTTTTTTAAATCACAGGTTGCTAATTGAACTAGTTTCAGGTGTTGCGACTTTTCTGTCCCATTTTTAAGTTTCATTTCCAAACTGTCATTCCTTCCAGGGCTTTCATTACTTCTCCTGTTATTACTGATAGAATGTCAAATTCCTATGGGCTGTTATTGCTTCTTACCGTATCATCCTGGTTGTATTTGCTTCCGTACAGCTCTTTGTAGAAATCCTCTGCCACCTCAACTATCCATATTGGTTGTGACGTTGCCTTTCTTGTTGTTTAATGCATAGATCCGATTTTTGGCTATGCACAAGCTTGCCTTTGCATCTTTAAGGGTTCTTCTACTTTTTATAACATGCTCGATCCTCTCCATGTTATAGCTTCTTATTTTGGCTACCTTACACCTATTAACTTCAAAAGCTCCACTAGCTCTATTTTGTCTGTTGCATTCTAGGCCTTTCATGGTTTGTTGTCTCTTAATAAGATTTTTCGTCTCCTAGGATAGTTTGCCAGTGTCCTGTCTAGTGGCTCTACCTCCTTACACTCTTCGATGATCCTAGTCAGATAATCATTCATTGTGTCAATGCTTACCTCGTTTAGAGCCGCAAATATATTCTGAAGTGAAACTCTGAATTTCTGTGCTTTCCCTATCAATGCTAGCTGCATGCCAGTTTCTGTCCTTGCTTTTTTAAGTCTAGGGGAATTCAAGCTATTACTATTTTATGGTCACTGCATCAGATCTTGCCAACTACCTCTACATCCTGTACAAAGCCCGGGGAGTGCGCACACAATATGAAATCTATATCATTTTTATTTTTGACATTAGGACTCTGCCACATCTACTTACGGTTAGCCAGCTCTCTATAGAAGGTGTTCTAGATCCGTAAGTTGTTCAATCTGTGAACTCAACCATAACTCCCCTCTGGCATTTCTAGAGCCGCTGGTGAGAATAAGGTAACAACAGACCTGCTGAAAGATGGCGGAGAGATTGTGTTAGAAAAACTGGCCACCTTGTATGCGTAGTACCTCTTGACGAGAAGGGTACCAGAATTTTGGAACAATGCCAACATAATCTTAATCCATAGGAAAGGAGATGCCAAAGACTTGAAAAATTACAAGCCAATCAGCTTACTTTTCATTCACTACAAGCTATTTATAAAAATGATAGATAATATAATTAAGGCAACATTAGAGTTCAATCAACCAAAAGACTTAGCAGGATTTCATACTGGCTACTCCACAATAGACCATGTTCATACTATCAATCAGGTGATAGAGAAATGCATGAAATACAGCCAACCTCTATACATAGCTTTCATAGATGATGAGAAGGCATTTGACTCAGTCGAGACATCACCAGTGATGCAGACACCATAATCTGCCTTGAAGAAACCGACAGAATTCCAATAAAAAAGGGCGTAAGGCAGGGAGACATGATCTGTCCAATGCTATTCATTGAGTGTTTACAGGAGGTTTTCAAAGCCCTAGATTGGAAAGAGTTAGATAGCAGTGCAGTAAAAACTCGTTAACTCAAATTCAGTGTTTTTGAAATCCCACTTAATTCAAAGTATTTCCATGGTCCCATATTTTGCAATGTAATTATGAGCAGGTAATTTGAAGGGGCGGTCAGCACCAGTCCGGATAATTAAAAAAAAGTCACAGTTTCGCTGCAAGGGCGAAGCAATGAATGCGATGGCAATGGCTTGGAATGTAACGCTGAGAACGACTTGCAGATCGAAATGTGCAACATGCTGCTCACGCACAAATGACTCACGAAAACAACACACACAGGATGATAGCTAACTAACAACGTTTACAACTTGAATAGTAAAGTAATCTATCACTAACCCAAGAGGAAGGTATATAACAGCTACATCTTGCCAATACTAACATACGGAGCAGAAACCTGGAGCCTTACAAAGAGGGTTCAGCTTCAATTGAGGACGACGCAGCGAGCGATGGAAAGGAAATTGATAAGTGTAACCTTAGGAGACAACAAGAGAGCAGAGTTGGTCAGGAAACAAACCGGAGTTAAGGATAGCATAGTTGAAATCAAGGAGAAACGAACATGGGTCGTGCACGTAGTACGTAGGCAAGATAATCGTTTGTCATTAAGGGTAATCGACTGAATTCCCAGAAAATGCAAATGTGCGAGGGGAGACAAAGTTATGTTGGCCGGTGAGATTAAAGTTTGCAGGTATAATGTGGCAGCAGAAAGCACAAGACTGGGTTGATTGGCAGAATTTTAGAGAAGCTGCACGCAGTGAGTGTAGTCAGGCTGATGATGATGATGATGATGATGAAACTTTCACCACTAATTTCCTTCTGAATTCAGTCTTGCTTGGACAGAAGCAACTGGCTCATTTCTACTTATGGTTGGATACATTGGTTCATGCAGTATGGACACAGTTGCACAACCAGTGAATGGGGTGTTCACTGTTGTGTAAGTGTAGTGCATAGGATTCTGATATTCGTATGTGGTCAAATGCAAATAGGACAGTCAGATTTGTATTCGAGAAGCAGGGTGCAGTATTCTGAGAGTCTGTCATGCTTATAATGGTGGCAACAATAGGTTGTGCCGTAGGGTGCAGCTGGGAGCACTGGTGAAATAATTGAAGCATCCGATACAGCCAGCAGGTTATCAGTGTGTCAGTGTGTTAAGCCGTTACTATAGTTCTTGTCAAAAGATATATAATATTTATTGACATGGGCCATGTGCAAAGGGGGCAATCGTGGCTTATTGCTTGTGCTTTGTATGAAAACACATGTATGCCACTGTTTTGTTAGCATCAAACGGTAGTCACGACTTGTTGATTGTTGTTATGTTTCCAAACACTTTATGCTATTTTTTGTGCATCGCATAGGTTTACCATGTATAACAAGCTCAGTACACAGCAAATCCATGAAGTCTATAAACTCTGCTTTTCTGCTTTGCTTTTCAGACAAAGGACAAAGTGTCACTACGAAACATGTCTATGGTTCTTCGACAAGTTGGTGAAACAGAAGAGGAGAGGTTTAACAATGTCTGTGAGAGTGTTGCAAAAGCTAAGGAGGCATTGGAGCTTGATATCACTGATGGAAGAAATTGGAGTAAGTGTAAGCTTGTTGAAGCAAAAAATCAATTAGATATATTTGTGGTATTCAACTATGTTTAGGACTGTTTGTTGTAAAGTTTGAAAATTTTATAACTGCTTTTTATTGTGAGGGAAACTGCCCCAAAAAACTTAAAACAGAAGAATAAATGGAAAACCTAGGTGCATACTAACTGAAATTTTATTGGAAATTTGTAAAATATAAGAAGGAATAAAACCATGTGTGCAAGAATAAACAGCAGAAAGGAACTGCGTGTACGCATAAAGATACCCAATCTCTGCTCTGTGCAACAGGATGGAAAACTTGGCAACACAGCTATCTTCGGATTGTTCATTTCTTCTTCATCCTATGTTTTTTCGTGCAATTTTCCTCATAATAGATTACCAACTCGCCCTACAGCCTGTTCTTCTGCCTTCTATGCAGGTATTCTTGGTAATGCATACATCACACTCTTTTTTTCTGGTACACAAAACAAAAAGTCACTTCAGCAGGCTTTGGCAGCATACTCCAAAGCTGTAAGTATATTTGTTATGAATTTTAGTTCTTTCTAAATTGGGCACTCACAAAAATCTTGTTGTATATGTGTGACAAAGGACTTATTAAAGCAAAATACTCCTGACCAGAGACCCCTGTCACTTGTGGCAACTTCAGCGCACTTTGAGTGAGTGCACTTATACTCATAGATTGTCACTTCGGCGTCGCGCTGCTACTTGGAAAAGTGAAGTGTACTTTGGAAATGACAGCTGTGAAAATTGTTGGATCAGTAGTGTAACACATATTTATTAATTTTTGTCAATATTTGCTGGTTAGTAACATATTATAGGTATGAACATAGATTATAATAAACTTGGGGCACAAATGAAGTAAATATCACAACCACATAACATTATCCGTCATCGGGAGTCAAGACAAGACAGTGTCATATTCATCGAAAAGAAAATGGCGGACTCCGGTGTGGAAGGCACGTGTAATATGTTACCATAGGCATAGTGGTGACAGGCACTTGAACCGTGTTTTGGCAGCATTCATTTGCTTACGAGCGAAAACTCTGCCATTGTGACAGATGCTGTCATTGCATGGCAAGTGCTCCCGCATCCCTTTAGCGAACGTGGCTGTGAAGTGCCCATTGGCAAGAGTAGTGGAGTTTTTTTGTTGTAGTATGACTTGTTTTAATACATGGCAGTATTCCTAATAGTGAAAACAATGGTTTGATACTGTGAGCATCGCATTATGTAATAGCATATTTATTTGGAAGCCACTGCTGCTGAGGCTACACACTTCGTAACAGCGAAGTGATGTTGGCGAACAAACTTGCCGGCAAGGGTCATTGCAGAAAGTGACACTAAACCTTCTCATGTGACAGCGTCTAAACAACACGCACAATGAAATGCACTCGCTCAAAGTTCACATCAGTTTCCATATGTGACAGTGGCATAGCAAAGTGAAGTTTTCCTATTTAGCGAACTCACCTACACCGAATACATCTATCTACCTTCTCTGCTGTGCCAGGAGAATTCCCGTAACCCCCTCCCACCCTCAAGAAAAAACATGGAAAGCAAAATTTGGGAAATTTATAACACCTAATGCATGTACAGTGCCGTCCACTCTTGGTGCGAACATGTCGCACCGTGGCCGTGCTCCTCGGGGCGCCAGCGCACATAGTGTGGCCGCGCATTGAAGCTAATTAGAGCATGCGCACAGGCAATGCCTGATCTCTTGTAATGTGCTCGAGCCCTGTGCTTGTCTTGCTGGGAAGCATGCGCAACTATCAGCATGCCAGTAGCGATTGAGTGTTCTGCAAGGGCATTGCAGAAAAATGCGCTTCACTTGCTGTGCAGTTTGAGCAGTATGTTGTGTAGTTCATGGTCAAATAACGAGTCACAAACTTGTGGCTCGCCGGCCGGTTGCAGCCAGTGGCTTCACCAAGAATACAATATTTGTGATATTGTTAAATGGGATTTGCAATATAAACTTGGCTATTACGATGAATTACTTTGTTCTGCTAAGCGAAACAGACGGACTTGTTTCAAGTATTTGTGCATGTGTGTGTGTGTGTGTGTGTGTGTGTGTGTGCATGCGTGCGTGTGTGCGTGGCAAATTCCATACGGTCACCATGTATTGAAACATAACCGTGGAATATAATCACCTTATTTTGAAATCGGCGTCCATTGTTCTGGAGTGTAGTACCGATGTTTCTCCAATCGTGACTCCAAGCAGTCTTGAGAAATGATCCACAAATGAGACATGTGAAAAGCGTTCTTTCAAAAAGTAGCACGTTTTCTTGAGCGATTTACACCTCGCCTCGCCACCTCAACCCTCTTCTTCACTGTCCCAGCTTTTGCGGGACTGCACTTCGTGTCCGTCGCCTGGTAGCAGAGGGGAGTTTGAGGCATCTGGCTCAAAGCGAGTAGTTTGTTCCTCTTTTCACAAATACAACCCTTCTTGTTTGCATGTAGTTTTGCAAAGAGCTCCGCATTGCTTTCGTTTAAGGGATTTAACACCTCAATGCGATCTCGCATATACAGTGACATTGAGAAAATGGCTCCGTATAATTATGACTAGTGTTCCTATATACAGAAGCGCTAATTTCAACTCCTTCCCCCCCCTCCCCCCGCATGGTTATTCAGTGTTATGAAAGCATTATTTTTTTTTCAACCATTACTAAATAACTTGCCATGGTAACGGAAAGAGCAATATACATCAGTTAAGTCTCAAAATTTGGGGGTTGTCGCAGCATCAGTACAGTGAGTAGAAAAACATCTTACGGCTAAAGCATTTAGAAACAATTGGGCCATTGTTTCTTTCGCTAAACGAGGCGCATAGCTCGGAAAGCAATTGCTGCCTCATAGCAGCGTCGCCAGAAGTTGCAAGTGAGCGCCCGTCCTGTCTATATGTTTTATTCGTTTGTGTGGACAGGATTTTGGCGCAAAATTGACTATTTTACTCAGTACCGAGATTGTGAAGCATATAATAGCATGAGCCACAGTAGCTTTGGAGTGATCTTGAGAAGTCATAATGCAAAAACCGCTGATGGGACAGGCTACGTCAAGATGTCTTTAAAAAATTTTAATATATTATGCAAGGTAGATCTCGTGGATTTAGCTTAATGATGAATGAGTTGGCCTATATTGTACAGTGTCGGAAGGAGGATGTAGTGAACGAGAGCATTCTTTAGGAGAACTTTGAATCCCATTTTGCGCCAACTTTTTTGTGAAAATGCTGCCGACGTTTCTGCTCAAGATGTTTTACTAGGCTATTTGTCTATGAATGGTAAAGGGAGGCATTAGGAAGGTGTGAACATAAAAAAGTTTGGATAGCTTTGCACTATGTGCTGCCAGCCCTGCTTGAAGGAAGTGCGAGGATTGGGGGGGGGGGGGGGGGGGGGGCTTTTTTCGCATTCTCTTTCTTCCTTTTTTTTCTAGATATTTTGAGTCTTGTCTTCTCTCCCTATTTCTATGAATTTATATATTCTTTATTCCTATTTTTTCCTTTTTCTTCTTTCTCTTTTTATGTCTCGCCTGCATTCTTTTTTTTTTTTCATTTTTATACATGCTTAATCTGGCGTTACGTGAAGCGATGACAGCTTACGAGAGCCACTGCCTCGGAAGTGTTTTGCACTCAATATTATCAGCAAGGCGCTCGAAAAACAGTAAGAAGAGTACTTCTCGGCGTGAGCGCGCGCTCAGTATCCTACAGACGGCTTTGCTACACATGGTTTTGCTTGTGTTATGCCAAGTGACGACAGCGTGCGATTACATTATACAACATCACGTAACAGCCCGGGTCCCTAAAGTGCTCTGCATTCAAAACCAATCATGAGAAGCTGTTCTACGATGATCAGATAAACTAGTGACCATGGCAAAGTGTCATTGTTCGCGTAATTCCGTTGTAGGAAAGTATCAGTCAGAGGAGAAAAAAAAAAGAACACCTAAAAAGCTGGAACAAGAAACCGGACAACTGTGTGCCAATAATCGGCAAGGAAAGCACCAGAAACAGAGATTCACGCTTTATATTATAGCAATCTAGAGCATTACAATTATGCTGGGTGCATCAAATCCGTTATAAGGTGGCTGTCTGGAGAGTCTGGGTGGTTCGTCATATTCTTGTATAGATAAAGATAGCATACGTCGAGATCATTGTTGTGTGGCTGAAACACAGGGAGTTTGGCGGAATTTTCATCGACGCGGATATCAAGCGAGCCCGTATGCTTCGTCATGCCAGCTAACGCTAACGTACCATGGGTGGTCGAAATCATCCACAGCCATTTTCAACAACTTTCATGGAGGCAGAGTAGCCCTGCGATACACCAAAGCAATCCTGAGCAATTTGCAAAGATTTGTGGAAATAATTGCGATTGAGGCAGTGAAAGAAGGAATCACTCACATCATACCCAGTAAACTGCACAATCTTGCAATAAGCAAAACACGCTTTCCTGCAATGCCCTTGCGAAGCGCTCAATCACTACTGGCACGCTGATAGTTGGGCCGGTTTCCCAGCAAAGCAAGCACGGCGCTCGAGTGCATCATGGAAGATCAGGCAATGCCTGTGTGCATGCTCTAATTAGCTTCGATGCGTGGCCGCATCATGTGCGCTGGCGCCCCGCAGAGCACGGCCACGGTGCACCGCGTTCACACCAAGAGTGGACGGCACTGCACATATGCTACAAGCACGCGTCTCTCATAATCATAAGGTGGTTTTGGGATGTTAAACCTTACATATCAATCAATCATGTCACAAGCACGCATACAAATGCACATGCATACACTCACAGAAAGAGGAAGGCAAGTGGAAAGTGTGGAAGTTCTTGTCCCCCGCTTTCCCACTCTTGAGTTAAGCCATGGTTACGCCCTTGTCTGGTTGGGAGTTCTTGCTCGTAAGAAAGCTGATTGAATAGCTGCCGCTTAAAGGATGAGAGATCACTATGATGCAGCCATCTGCACGTTTCAAATACTGCTATTAAAGTGACTTTTTCTTAAATGCTTTTCGAGAGTAGTATTGTGTCTTGGTAGTATACTTTTAGGAAAGTTTTTCGTTGTAACTCACATGCATATTGAACTATTTTTCACTCATTATTTCAAATACTTACAAGAAAAATAGAATTGTTTTAGCTAGGAAGTACAAGGCTAAACCACTTGACTGTTACAGGCACAGTTTTTTATTGAACTCGGAGAGGTTGTAAGGGCTGCATATACACAAGGTTGTTCCACCAAGTGCCCAGGTATCACAGAATTTCGTACATGCAAGAATTAAGCTAACCAGTAGTTCAGTAACCCCTACTCCTGATCTTAACTGCTGCTCAGTTTTTGTTTCCCATTTGTCGCCTTCCAACACATGCGCACAACCATGCTGTCTTGTTAGTAGCCTAGTTGTAAGAAGGAATCTGCTGGCACAGCAGGCTAGGCTTCATGAAGTTCATGGTACTTCTAACCAAGCTTAGTTTTTGCGCAGCTCTTGACAACATAGAGACGATTATGGTTTAAAGAACTAAGTGTCAGCATAGTCATGTCGGTCGAGCATAGCTGGCAGGCAGTCTTGAGCAGACTACTGCAATTTCACCACTACAGTAGGACCATACTTATTTTACACAATTGTAAAAAGGTGGCACTTGTCATAATGAAATCGCAGCAAAATCGCAGCATTAATATGTAGTTTCTTTTGCTGCTCCAGCTTGTAAAAAACAGGGAAGTATAAAGCGGATACAAAGCAACAAGTTTTAATCAGAATTCCTTAAAGCTAGTGTTGGGGATACAGGAAATGACCTTTAAGTTGTCAGGAGCTACTATGGGACAGAATATATTTTGCAGCTGTTGCTGCAAAACATTTTTTTTATAGCTTTGATTTTCATTTGCCAAACTCGGATGTATAGAGCAGCAAACATATTCTATTGTAGAACATTAAGGTTCCCTACTCTAAGGTTGTATAGGTGTGGCTGCCAGTCATTTAAAAAGGTGACTGCTTAGTGTGGTGGCTTTCAGTCATATTAAAGGCAGCAACAAGTTGAGAGAAGCGAATCATGAGGCCACCTAAGGTTTTTTGTTTATAAGAGTGACCTGTATGAACAGTGAGGCAAATAGGTTTCACTTTTTTTTCCTTTACAGTGTGCTTGACAGCTTTCAGATTTAACTGATATATGCCAGTTTAAGAGCACATTTGTAATTGGTGATCTGCTCTTTGCTTGTTTCCATCAAATAGGTAATAATTGCTCTTCCTACTTTTTGTGCTTTCAGCTTGAAGACCCACGAATGCACTGCTCCTCTGAGTTGTATCACAATCACGCTGTGGTGAGCAGTGTTGAAATTTTGTCACATGCGTCTTATATGATTGCAATGCAGCATAAGTACATTGCTTTTAATACATGTAAGTGGAGTGTGCATACAGTTCTTTAAAACCATACAACACCTTTGAAATTGAAAAGTACATTTTCAAGGGCCTTGAAATATCCAATTGTCTTCATTCTTTGGAAATCCTTGAATTTTTTTTTGGCACATGGAATCTAATCTTAACTCTCGGGGCTGCTTTCTATAATAGGTAAAGGTTCATCAGGCAAACTCTGAAGGTATGTGCCGTGCTTAGTCATGGCTTCTCTCTTAATTTTACTCTGCCTGCATCACACTTTGACCTACCATTCCTTTCATTTTCCTGCCGATCACTCCGCTTTCTGCTTTCTCCTAATTCACCTCCTATTCTCTCTGCTAGATAGAAAATCTGGTTAAAATTAAATGCATCAAATTGCAGGAACGAAAGCAGACATTAAAGCAAGGCCAAACAAAACAGTGAAGACAGCGTTCATAAAAAGAAAGCATTTATTGAACATGAAAATGAAGCAATGCAGTTGGTTTATGATGCAAATAACTCGAGAAACATACAGCCGATAGCCCTGTGTGTGTTTTTTTTTGTAGGTTTTTTTTTCATGCTGCTTCTAGTTATTTGCATCATAAAAATTCCATGCTTGCCGATTCTGCGCTCATTCCAAGTCGTCGTCGCTGACTTCTTTGTCGCTGTCTTCAAACAGTGTGCACTCCTTGGTCCCATCAAGCGCATTGGATAGGCACACCTCTTAAAAGAGCGCACAATCAAATTTCCTGGGTTGTCATCCCACACTGCAGCCCCTCCAGCGATGCACATTTTTTTTTCATCCACTCCAAAGTTCTTTCGGCTTGAACGTGGACGAGGACTACTATATGGCTAAGACAACTTTCTTTTTATAAGTGGACACCGCCTGTTTACACACACAGACCACTTAAAGGGCGACTTGAATTGACAAACCGCTCGCCTCATCACTCGCCACAAATCAAAATGGCAGCCTCGCAAGTGTACTTAAGCCAGGTGTTGGCTGTGCTTCTAACGGCTACAATACCATCCAGGTGGCGCTAGTTTTGCACCACTCATCTCAATGAAAAGTGGCGCGTTTTTCAAAATCCTCAAATCTAAGCAGACTCTGGAGTTTGATGCAAAGAAATTTGAAAAAAAGCTATTGGCCTAAATTTGAATAAATACGGTAAGTGTTTTCTCTCCTGCATCAACCCCCCTACATATGTTATGTAATGGGGTCATAAAGTCGAAGGGCCAACAAAGCAACTTGTAACCCCTAGTAAATGACAGTAGAGACAGTGTGAAAGACCATGCCGAAGGTCTAGTGGAAGGCTTTGAGAAAACCAGCAAATGGCATGCCACTGAGGGTGTCGAACTGGTAGTCTGTAGTGTGAAATCAAGTCCAGTTGTGCTAGTAGAAAATTGGCCAGGTGGCAACTCTTGCTTCATTTCAATAATATATATGTATCAGCTTGAAGTTTTGATTACGCATCTTTGAAATGGGCAGCACAAAAAACGAGGACACAAGAAGTACAACATACCCCGCAGTACCATATAGACATGCAGTGTTGTACTTTATGTGCCCTCGTTTCTTGAGCTACCCATTTCAATGATGAGCAGCCAATCCCAACTTGCCCAAATATCATTTCTTTTGAAGTTTTGAAACTGCTGAAGGTGCTGGTGCAATTTCTGTTCACCTGTTGAACGAGTTCAAAGAGTAAATATGTTGTATGACTGCAGGCCTTGCAATATGACGAGGACTACCAGGGGGCCTTGGAACAACTGGAGCATGCGTGCTCCTTAGAGCCCCATTGGGCCCAACCTCGAGAAAAAGCACAGAACTTGATGGCATACTTGCAAAGACTGACGGACGCGGTTTCACATAAGGTATACAGTTTGCATTATACCATAGCTAGGGAAAATGAGTTGGCATTCACTTGGCATTGCATTCATTACCAGCAGTATGCAGCGCACTGCTTTTACATCAAGCAGGTACCGATCAGTGCAGGACTGCTTAAGAACTCCAGATCGGTATTCTTGCACTGCAAACTCTCTCGTAATCTTCAGAGACATGCACTTAAAAAACAGAAATGAAGAGTTCAATAGGGTTGAAAGCCGCGCTGGTTGGTGATTGATCATTATACTGTATAGTAAAGAAGCGTACTTTTGACTTGGCTGAAAAAAGGCAAGAAAGACACAACACCCGCTGTATTCTCAACTAATTTTATTTCAGAAACAGTACTTCATTTACAGGCTGCCCCAGCTATATTTCGCCAGTTTAAAAATACGCCAGCACACTCAATGAGGACGTGATCAAATGCACGTTGCTGGCTGTTGCCTGTAGTGAGTCAGGCAATCTTTTGTATTCTCATCAGTTGTTAATTTGGCCACTTTTACCTGTTGAACAACGAAAATGGGCCGAAAGTTTCAATGAGAAAGTTGTTAATCAGTTTGCAAAATGTCTGATTAGACAGTTTCGAGCTTTATATCTGTTACTTTTTGTGTTTTTCTGCTAACTACAAATGCCTGAGAAATGGAAAAAAAACCTCTTGACAATCTCTCTCACGCGCCAGTGCGCATGATGATTCTAGTGCACCCTAAGAATGGAATAGACTTTATACTGTGCACACACCTTGGCATCGTGCAGAATGTGGAAACAGTCGGCATGATATAATGCAGTGACTACAGGACGGTATGGTCTTGAGTTTGCCTTCAGTTGAGAAATGAGTTGCAAGAACCGGTATGCAAGCAGCCAATTAATGAGTTTGCACTGAGAGGGCAAGTGCAGGAATTTAAAATTGCACTCGAGAACAGATACTCGGCTCCAACCAAGAAAATGATGCAATGAATGATAATCTTACAAGTATAATTGTAATTTCAGAGTGTGCTGTAGAAGTCTGAGGTGCAGTCATTAGTCGGTACAATGGCAAGCCCTTTCAGGAGACGAAAAACGTGATTAAAAAATATCAAAGCATGTAAACATCAAACACAACAGACAAAATAGAACTGGCAGAGCTTTCAAAATGAATGAGTAGGCGAAAGGTAGCTGACATAAGAAGGTATAATATGGAAAGAATTAAACATGCTCATTGATTCAGGCGAAGATTTAAAAAGGCGAAGAGAAAACTGGGCACTGGAAAAGCCAGATGTATGCACTAAGGGACCAGGAAGACAATGTCACTGACAATATGGATAGAATAGTTATAGCAGCTGAGGAGTTTTTGAGAGACTTGTACTGTAGCCTTGAAAACAAGGACAACAATGTGAAAGGTACTGTTAGCCCAGAGAAATCGGACATTTCACCACTAAACACAGGGGAAGTAAAGAAAGCCTTGAAGGGAATGCACGGAAACAGAGCCACTGGTAAGGATCAAACAACATCAGATCTGTTGAAAGATGGTGGACATATTGTCTTGGAAAAACTGGCCACTGTATTTCTGTGCCTTTTGACGTTGAGAGTACCAGAGTCTTGGAAGAATGCTTACGTAATCTTAATGCATGAAAAAGGGGACATCAAGGACTTGAAAAAATTATAAGCTGACCAGCTTATACTGTTTGTTTTTTACAAGCTGCTATAAAAAACCGCAATATAGGTAGAATAAAAAAAATGCAATGGAAAGTCCACCCTTGTCTTATATATTGGTCATTGGCAGAAAAAAAAATGTGGATGTCTCGCAACATTAGGCAGCTGAACTCGCAAGCCTCCATTGCCATCGTGACTATCAGCAGCAGTGCCGTTACGCAAGGCTAGGAAAGGTCTAGAGTGTACTAGCAATGCCATTTTGCCTCGGTTATCTTTGTCAGTCTGCTGTTTTTTTTTTTTTCTATTTGCTTCAGAAATGAGCGGTAGTCGATGGCAGTTTACAATAGGCTCAAAAAAAGTTCTCAAGTATGCTGAAGCACATGGCAACCTGGCGGCACAAGGGGAATTCGGTGCATCGGAGAAAAGCGCCCGATACCGGAGGAGCCAAAAGCAGTGCATCACATCGTGCAGCAACCAAAAAAAAACTTTGTTTCATGGACGGATTGCAGTGCACCCAAACTGGAAACGCAACCTGCCAAATTCGTCCGCGAGTCGCGTGCAAGGAGGTCGCTACCCATGATAGCAGAGTGCATCCACATGAAAGCTGTCGAGAGAGTGTGCAACTCTGGGCTCACAAGGGTGCAATTCAAGGGCTCGCCATTGTGGGTTTGCCGATTTATGAAGCGGGAAGGCTTTACGCTGAGGCGGCATACTTCTGTGTGCCGAAAATTGCCCAAAGATTTTAATAACAAGCTGGTCGAGTATCAGCACTTCATCATCAGGCTTCGTCAACAGTATTGCTACATAATGGCATACATGGGCAATGCTGCCAAAACTCCGGTCTGGTTCGATACGCCTTCGAACTGGGCTGTGAGCACTAAAGGATCTAAGCAAGTGAAGCTTTTGACAACAAGCAACAAGCATTCGCGATTTACAGTGATGCTCACGTTTACTGCCCATGGAAAGAAGCTGCCCCCTTAGATCATTTTCAATAGAAGAGGGCTACTAAAAGAAGACTTTCTCCGGGATCTTATCGTGTGAGCAAATGAAAAAGGGTACATGAATGAGTCCCTCATGCTTGAATGGATCCGGCTCATGGGTGACCCAGGGCGCTTTTGCAGCGACCGAGCATGTTGATGCTCGACTCATTTCGAGGCCACCTCACGGCTCATGTAAAGGGAGCTCTGTCCGATAGCGAGAGGGACCTTGTCGTAATACCTGGGGGACTAGCATCAATCCTCCAGCCACTGGGCGTAGTGCTCAATAAACCCTTCAAAGATCGTGTGCATGAGCTCTACATTGAGTGGATGCCGGGCGACAATACCAAGGCCCCCGCTGGCCACCTACGACGTCCACAGCTCGCGACCGTTTGTGGCCGAGTGTCGTCAGCTTGGAAATCTGTTCCGCAAGAGATGGTCTGCAAGTCTCGCAAATGCTGTATCAGCAACGCATTGGATGGGTGTAACTAGTGAGAAACAGACGTCGTCGGACTCAAATTCGGACGAGTCTGAGTTATAGCACTTTGTGGCCTTGTGACGTTTAAATACATAAGATTAGTGTTGAAATAAAAACAAACGTCACCGCAGTGCAGCTAGATTTGAAATAAAGAAAAACGTCACCACAGTGCAGTTAGTTGTATCGCGTAATTATCAAGGTAAGGGTGTGTCGTGATACTTTACGATTTAAAAAAATTTCTTTTTCAGAGATTCAAAGTAAAAGGGGGGCGGTCAACCTATATTCGAGTTTTTATCGTATTTACGAAGATAATAGCCAGTAGAATTAAGACCACTAAAAAATTAATTAACCAAAGGGCCAAGCAGGATTTGCTACTCGCTACTCAACAATAGACCATATTGGCACTATCACTCACGTGGTAGAGAAAAGCACAGATTATAACCAACCCCTATATAAAGCGTTATAGATTATGAGAAAGCATTTGATGCAGTCATGCAGGCACTGTGGAATCAGGGCATCGACGTACCATATATAAATGTACTGGAAGAAATCTACCCAAACTCTACAGCCATCATAGTCCTTCATAAAGAAAGGAACAAAATTCTTATAAAGAAGGGTGTAAGGCAGGAAGACATGATCTACCCAATGCTATTCACAACATGCTTACTGAAGGTTTCCAGTGCCCTAGATTGGAAAGGTTTGGGAAATCTGTATGGGTGTGTGAACACTCGAAATTTAGAATATATTTCAAATAGTGTTTGCTGTTTGATTCTATTTACACTGGAAGTTTGCTAGTCAAACTTATATTCAAACTTCCTGAAGACAAACACAGTTGACGTCCGATTAACAGGAGCTCCTTCAGATGTTTAATACGCTTCACCCCATTACCCCCTCATAATGCGACAAAGCCACCTTTTAGGCTTTGCTTTAGTCACAAATGTGTTGACTCAAGAAAACTGGTTGTAACATGGAGATGATAGATGGGGCAAAGGTTGGAGCTCGATTAATGCTGTTTTGGACCTGAAATATGGGCAGAAAGTCCGAAAAATCTGACGCCATAGGTCTTTAGCATCAAAATTTTTAAATGTTCTTATTGCAGGCTTGTGCAAATAGTGAATTTCTGGTTCGAAGCGAATTCGAAGTGAATAGTGGTTTGATAGAATAATTTCGAATCGAATTCAAATGGTATGCATGACATTAATAAAAAAAGGGAATATTTATCATGACCCAACTAACCTGCACAATATTTCTTTTGAATTGAAATTAGGGCTCTCTATGCAAATGCAATTTATTTCTTCATTCGAAGGAAGTCGAAACAACCTTGAGTAGTACTTTCGGAAGGATGCGAGTGATAACCTGTAAGATACTTAATGTTTTAAAATTTATTTTACTTGGATCATATAAGCCGGCATAACAAGCTTAAGAAAATGGAGAATTGATTTGAGGGTAACATGTTGCTTTGAAGGGGCCCTGCAACACTTTTTCAAGTAGCCATGGAGCCAGTAAACATGCTTGTTGCCTCACAAATTTACTGTCGCAAGTTTCTAAAATCAGTCCAGTACGAGCGGAGTTCCAAAAATTCGTCGCACACTGCAGTTGCATTCTCTCTTCTCGTCTTGATGAAATAGCTGGAAACTAAGCAGGGAGGAATGGCATGGCCAAAGAAAATACTCCACATGCACCTCGTGACCTTGAGCACCTCTTTTTTTTTTTTCTTCGAATACGTGGCTTTTCAGTGAGATCGCGCACGTACTCGTGGACAAGATGCGGCCCTGGTAAGTTCGAGCGCATTATGCTCAAATCAGCCACTGTGTGTGACCAGAGCCGTATATTTCTTCTTGGCTGCGACGAGTGATTTTTGAGCTTGTAGTGTCATTTGCCGAGGAAACAAAGCAATTTTTAGCTTTAA